CCCGAAGGACCTTTTTTGTGCAATTTATATTTTTTCAGTGTTTGGGAATTTGGAGTTTTCCAAATTCTCGGTGCAATGTGTGAAGTGCGAATGTTCAAAAAGCATCTTGAACAGGTTGCTTTGCTCTTCGAAGGTTACCTCGAAATTTGGTGAAGAACCAAGAAGAGTGCGAGTTATTGCACTAAAAACACAAAGGGTAACAAGATTTATGTAACAATTTATATTTTCTTTCATGAATGCAGCCATGGAAGGAGGTTCACTACTTGCAAACACGCATAGGAGACTCATTTGTTCCTATGACGAAGTGTATCTTGTCGCAGAGATTCAGATACTCTTGCACAACTTGCACACTTAATTAAATCCATTACTCATTAGGTATCAATTATCGCCCTCAATTGTAGATTTTTAACATGATTATATATTGCAATTTTCAGGTCTCATTATGGTCAAGCAAATTGAAATAGAATTAATCAACTACTGTATGTATGCTGTCACCATAAGGGCTTAGAAAACGCATTTGATGTATTGCTTGAGCAAGGACTCAATCCAGTTGCGTGAGATTTTCTCTTTAGCTTACGGATAGTCTATGAATGCAAAACGAAGGCGGCTTCCGCTCTTGAATGCAACGATCTCAGTCAGGGGGACGCTTGTCTGCAATTTCACGACCTTGAAGTTGGCACAGACTTACTGTGATCCTTTGAACCTTGCGTACTGTGTGGTTTATTGAGGAGAGCGAAAGAGAAGATGTGCGGAACATTCACATTTGTTGCAGACAGACTAAAAGCAAGATTAGGAAATGCTCATTTTATCAAGTTCTAGCATAATGTAAATGACATTGAATACTAGACTACTATTAGCTTGTCCCAAAAATTTTTCATATCTGACTTTTCACCAATATAAGTCTGCTCTTCTTAGATTTCTAGTGGGAACACCATTTGAAAGATTAAAGCAAGCTCTACAATATGGCTTTCAAAAGTTCGTACCAAGCTTGATCCGCATAGGAGTTCAAGACAAGTTGGAAAAAATCCAAGACCCCGAAAAAAGGAAAATAATCGTATCTCAGTTTAAAAACCTTCCGCAAAGTTCCCACTTGCTCAGACATATAACCTCCCCTTCAGGTTTTACATATACACTTGCTACATTCTTCTGATGGCTAGAAATAGAGAAAAAATGCGCTCAATCTTCAAACTTTGCCTGCAAGGGTCTATGCTCCTCGCAAATATGGGAATATATAGCTTATTCACTCAGCAATACCCCACTACGTCTTAGTTTTCCAGATATCAGTATGAAGGTACGAATACGAAAAGACTTATGAGGCAACCTAATAAATGAATGGCGACATGATGGAGCTTATAAGGTTGAGAAGAAATGATCACGACGTCATGGGATATCATGACGTATTGGATAGATTGTAAATTTTATAAAGCACCTGTACTTCAGTATTATCTGCACGATGTCATCAATAAGGCGGAAGTTTGACAATTAGGCAGAAGGACAAACTGAAGTACGATGCTTTAACAACTTTTTATTTGAAGACAGGGCTCGGCACGAAGTGGCTTTCCGAATATGCAAAAACGAAATCCCCTCTGACTTTCGTAAATTTTACGAAGTCCCCTTTGACTCAAAATCGGAAACATAGGCTAAAAAAATCTAGTCTAACTGGTGTTTTTTTTTTCAGATAATAAAAACGATATCCCCTTCGCTTTTTGTTCCAAAAACGATATCCAGCTTGCTTATGAGCCACCTTGCCGGGCCTTGTCTAAAGGTATCTATGTAATTTACAAGGGAAGTTTTTTTGTAGAAGTGGTCTTTCCAAATGAAACTGCCATCAATTTGATAAGCATTGAACGGTAATTCCAAATCTGTCTTCATTATCTGCCAAACGCCTAAGGATGCCGAGTTATGAGTGTTTTTTTGGGTTGAAAAATTGACAGCATGACTGGAACAAAAGTTTGCGCGAATGATCCAGCGTTGAATATCAGAGCATCTCATTCAGTGAATATTCTGCTCAATACATTCATACTACATTGCTCCAGCTGGAAGCCAGGAAAATTTACCTTAATTTTAGATTTATTTTTTTGTTTCAAAAACACTCATTACTCGGTTTAGAAAATCGACTTGAAGATAACGAAGACAAATTCGGAACCAGCGTTCGATGCTCTTCATATATAGCGATCATATGGAATGGCCACTTCGACAGAAAAAGTTTCACTTGTTTGGGATTGATTTCACAACAGACTTATTCTGCTCTTGAATTTTTTTGAGCTTAAGGCTGCAGAATCATCGGAGGCATTTCAACACAGTGAATATCTTTCCATTACTTCGGGTTCATGCCATTTCCGCCCTTAATGATTTCGCTATGTCGAATTGACTTGCATTGATATTGCACACTTTGAGAGTAATATTCATTTGAATCCACCATGTTTACTGAAATTCACAAACGGAAATTATAGTACTGTTCAGGAGAATGACATATTCAGAATGATTTTATGCCGGAAGATTAGAGTGGCCAGTTGATAAGGAGAGTGTTGATGCATGAGTCCATTTACTGAGGCCTCGAAGTTATAATAGTTTTATGACTACTTCATTGAAAATTCACGAGTTGAAATGAAGCTTCATTTTTTGAAAAAATCACAGATCTATCGCTAATTTATTATTTTTTATCACCCCTATCTTCTGCAATGAAAAATGTATCGCGCATGCACTCCTGCAGAAATTGATGGATTCTATAATGAATGTAAGAGGATCCGTGCACAGTATGTACTGAGACAACTTCTACAATCCGCAGCTTGTACTATAAAATCCATATGACAAAAGGGATGAATTTGTCATACAACAGTTCCGTAACTACATAAATGATTGCAAACTCGTAACTTGAGGTACCACTGCACTAGTATTCTACGATTCTAATCTCTCAATGTCTTGCCAGCAGCAATTCAGGAAACTCAAGCTTTCAACATAAAACTCTGCCTATTCCTGGGCTCAACATTCTAGGCATTTATGCATTTTTTGTGCATTTTTTTCTTATCCCACTCCTTGCTCGGAGGCGATAAATTCAAGTGAGATCATTTAGGCTTTGGAACCGATATAGAACCGATATATAAGGTGATTCATACTTCAAGAATCGGCTCAAAGGGATCACAAAAATCGGCTCAAAAGAGTTCATGATCCGCTTAATGTTGGTCATGACGCCTTTGTCATTTGGAATATTGTTAGAAGATCTCAGTATAGCAGACTCAAAAAATCCCAATGTACATAGTCTGCGTACCAACTGACGCTGGTCTTCGAGATTCGTTATCTTGATTTGGGATTTTTCTAATCTCCGATTATAGTAAAGTAAAGCCATCAACCCAGTCAATGATCGGATACAGTGATTCATACCTATAGATATGAAGAGAGATAAAACACTTCAAGCATCAAAAATGGAGAAGCTCGCCTCCATCACATGGAATCTCACCACTCAATACCGCTCACATTTTTTGAAGAAAAAAAAGCGACCCACACTGCTCCGATTCATATGACACACCGGAACGTGGCCATATCTCGCTTCAGAGCGGCCAAATTTTCAACCCATGAGCACTATTTAACTCAGCTTGGCGCGAGGCATCTTCTAATGTATAGAAGTACCCGCTTGGCACAATAGGAGGCGAGATTTCACGAATACCTTCAGATTTTCGCTTAGGTGGATTTTCCAGTAAGTGCAATGAATGAGCACACTGAGCAACTCAAATCGTGGAATCTGGCCTCCCACAGTGTCCAAGCGGGCACATCCACAAATTGTAGCATGCGCCGCGCCGAGCTGAGTCGAAGTGCTTATAGTGCTTATGGATTGAGAATTCGTCCGCTCTGAAGCGGGATATGGCCACTGATGTCACATGAATCGGGCGACTGTGCGTCGTTTACAAAAGATGCGGTATTGTGCTGCATTAAAGCGTGTTTAACGCAAACATTTGTTTCAGCTATTCTTCTCATGTGATCGAAATTCGAACAAGTAGCCGCTTCTAATCAGATCAGCCTCGCTTATCGAGGCAGTTGTAAAGAAGCGTCATGGAGCTATCTATAGATGTTAAATGAATTCGCGTCTTATCGACACTTCACCTGTTTGCTTGCTGCCGTCAGGCTCTTTTTTTTTTGAATTTTTTTAAAATGAAGTTTGCAGATTGTCGAGCACACTTTACATAATTTCAGTGAACAGACTGTACCATTGCTCTCACTTCCACTTGCAAGTTACATGTATAACAAAAATTAGGCTTTTTCGAAGTAAACTACTCCATTTCTACATACCGCTCCAATAGTACTTCAAGTTCAATAAGCGCAGCCTTTCGAGTTGTGCACTTACAAGCAAATTGCTTAAGATTATTAGTCTTTTAGTATTTTATTGCACTGTATGTAACGCTATCTTTTCCACTCCGAATTATTTACACAAGCGCAGCGAGTTGTTTATGCCATTGTCAAGGGATCCTGCCTTGAATACCTAAAACTTGGAGGCATCACATAAACCTACCGTCAAGCGGTAGCTTGTACGATTTGCCAGTGGACGAAGAATCAGGTGCGATGTTTAGCTCATACCGTCCAATTAACGTAGTCGGAGACCCTGACTGGCTGGAAAAATTACCGTCTGTGCAAATTCAAGATTTCCTTAGTTAGGAATGAGTTCTGCGATATCTGGACAACGGCTCAATTAAACCCCCTCTCCACCCCTTTCTTTCCCACTCAGTCATAACAACTGATGGCAGAAATGACATGATTTCACATAGCATGCCTATCCTTCCATAGTCAGAATGTAAAAATATTATACAAAGAAACTCAATTTTACAAACTACCATATTATTAGTTGCGAACAGCTTACCTAGTGGATTGAAGAAGAAGCTTTAATGATTCAACAAACGAAAATTTCAGCATTCTCTTGAGAACAGATCCTTGGCGGTCGAAGCTTATTTTCCGCGTAAAAATACATCACAAGCTTCTAACCCCACAAACATCGAATTTTATTCGCAGACATGCCAGTATCTTCGGATCTCATTGAAAGAATGCACTACAAGCGCAGATCATCTTTTGTACAAGAGCAACGATTTAAACAAGCATCTGAACCTCTTGAAGAAGTCGAAGTTGACATTGCAGAAGGACCAACTGTGGTAAACGGCTTCAAAACGCCATTATCATTCCAGTACTTTTTTTACATATACGTTGGCGATACATTTCTTTCCAGTCTTCACCTCGGCGAAAGTCGGCGAGCGTTTGCGTTGCGATGATAACGATAAAGCCTGAAATGAACACAGTCAACTATCAACGTCCTCACCAAAACACGGTGCCGCGTAAAGTTGGAACTTCGCGATTTATCGTCGAAAGAAATTGTCAGCCATTCAACGTTCAAGAACTGCAAAGTGTAAGGTAGAAGTTTTCGCTTGTTTTCCATTTCATGTTCTAAATCGGATCAAAATTGCATGAGACAGTTGGAAATCCGAATGCGCTACGAATCGTATCCATTTTTTTCTGTAAGTGAAGTATCCTACAAGAATCCTCTTTATTTCTCTTGCTTTCCATCGTTAATAAAGTTTCAATGGAGCTAAAACTGGAACAAACGAAGAGAAGTGGAAAGCGAAGGCAAATTATAGAGCAAAACTAACTAACTAAAAGGCAAAGGCAAACTAACTACCTTTGTGGAGCCTGTTCGCAGAGCAATCATGAAATACCTATTTGATAAACTTACGTTGGCTAAAAATCGGAAAGTCTGAGTACCGAGCATTAGATGAGTAAGACTATTTGACCATCAAATTCATAGACTCTTATTTTGTGATCTAGGCTGCGAGGACTCTCTACCTCGGAAGTTTTCCACGAACCACCTAAGATGTACGTTTACCGCGAACGACCAACCCCGTACGGTAAGCTACATGATTTTCTTGGAATTGAATTTTCCTGCTGCCATTTCAGTTCATCGCAATCCAAGAAAAAAGAAGACCTTTATGGAGTTCGTCAAGAAAAGAAAGCATACTATCTGTGCTTGGTCATTTGGCATATTCGCACTTGCTTTGATGGCTACGATAATTGCTTTGCAAAGCAAGGGAGACTTCAGCTGATCTAGAATAATCTTACGGATGCAGCTGAACTTGAAGGAGGAAAAGTGAAGGGATCCGACAAGCTAGCATCTCGCTAGGAAACAAGGACAGCGTGAGATCTGATCTACTCAAAGATACATTTACCAATAAAGTTTATATTTTTCTCTTTTTTCAACATAGCCACATACCAGCGTTACTACAACATTCCCAAGTGAACACAAGTAAACAAGAATACAGTAAAGAAGGGACAGGTCTTTGCGATGCCATTGAGTCGGTACAACGATTTCTGCGAAGGTGCGATCGCTCGAGCAACTCGAGTGAGATCATAATTGCAGAGGTGATGTTGACATAGCCATTGGTCCACTCCCAGTATGTGACGATGACCATTCTGAAAGAGGGCAGTATTCATAAGGGAAAAAGTACTTCTTGTAAATTTTACCCGTAAATGACTCCAACTATTTCGCTCGTTAACCGATATACATCCTTTAGTGTACTTGTCCTTATGTTTTTGAATGAAACAGTAGTCGCCATCGCAAAAGTGATTTTTATCTACCTAAAAGTGGTATATGACATTTCGAAAGGACGTAGAAGAATCGCCTTAGCATCAAATGTGCTCGTAGAATCATTGAATCATTTGTAACTCGGTAGCATATTGCACACCACGCGCCTTACTTTACGACTTGTGAGACTAGAACGTTAATTTTCTGGAATTTCTCTTTGTTCTGTTTTCTCTTCTGGTTTGATTGGATATGTACTAACAAGGGAACGATACTTGGTGTCCGTGGCCCTTTGAGATGAAACGTATATCTTCAAGTTCGTTTTGGAACGCTGATTCCGAATCTGACTTCCGTTTCTGCTAATCGTTTCTCTAGAAGAACTTATGAAGGATTTTCGCGTCAATGATTGCCCATGAGAAATACGTTCGAGGATGCCTAACTTCCAGAAAAAAACTTGATTGAGGCAATGCAAAACTGAAAAACACAAAAGGACTCGAACCTAAACTTGCATTAACTTGTGAGGCTATCGCACCAGCCACTACACCACATCTTAGCGACGATTTTGGCATTCCGACCACATCTCCTTTAGCGCGAAAATCCTTCATAGCTTTTTTCCGAGGAATGAGTAGCAGAAACGGAAATCAGTCGAGTGTAATGGTATACATCTCATATCAAAAGGCCACGGACACCAAGTATCGTTTCCTTGTGAGAAGTGGTACGCATCTCCTTGTTTTACTAAAAAAGTCCGTATTTTCATTCTTCTACTGAAAATTTTTACAAATTTATAAGTGAGGTGTCGTCTTTTGCCGCGTGCAGTGTGCAGTTCACATAGTAAGGAGCAAATGACTCTCGCAAAACCACCTACCACGCTCTCATTTTTGGCACCATGTGAGATATAGCAGCGGACTGGTCCAGATTGAACGACTGGCAAGGCAACGTTACAATTGTTCTGAAAATTGGAAAGGTAGAGAATGATTGTCATACAAGTGACCCACCTTTGAACAAACGCAATCCGTAAAGCTTTCTTTGGGTTGATATTGTATACGATAGCAACCATTTGCATACAGTCCGGGAAAATCTATGGTGTTTTTTAAGCGAAGATCAAAATCGAACTCGCTTATATCTCCGCAATTATACACTGTCATAACATCTGGAGGGAAGTCTTCCGAATATGACTAGAATAATGCATTGAGGAGATAGACGTCGTTACATCGTACCCACCTCTGTTCTCGTCATATGGCAATAGTTTGAAGAGCAGATATGTTCACGAGGCGACCCGAAAATTCCTGTGCCAGTCTGTAATTATTTTTCAAACAACAATTATAGTCAGTTTGCCATCGCAGTTATAGTCAGTGCTGTCATCGCTTCAACTGCATTCAAAACTGCCTATTCCGGCGAAGCTCCAGGATCATGCCAGTGGCACCACGCACTATTGATTGGCCTTGCTAGCACAGTTCTGGCACGGCGATAGCACTGCGCTGGAAAGCCGCAGGCACGGCGGTGGCATGGCAACTTTGGCCTCAAGACCGGATAAATTCGACATTTTATTTTTTTGCCAGTCTGTAATTATTTTTCAAACGCCAATTATAGTCAGTGCTGTCATCGCTTCAACTGCATTCAAAACTGCCTATTCCGGCGAAGCTCCAGGATCATGCCAGTGGCACCACGCACTATTGATTGGCCTTGCTAGCACAGTTCTGGCACGGCGATAGCACTGCGCTGGAAAGCCGCAGACACGGCGGTGGCATGGCAACTTTGGCCTCAAGACCGGATAAATTCGACATTTTATTTTTTCCATCAGCTGTCACGAGACTGTTGGCTTCAATGTATTGCGTATTTTAAGCCGATAACGACGGCGAAAAATTGCGCAATTTTTTCTCAGTTTGGCTTTTGTTGTTCCCAAAACTGCTTTTCATAATAGTCTATGGATCCTACTGTTAGCACAATAATAGTTGAGGGTATTTCGTAGTAATGTACACATGTTCCCATAAGATGTAAGCTTAACCTACCACTTTTCTGACGCATTCCACTACAGGTAGACGTACGATTGGAAGTGGCTTCATCGTATTCTCCTTGCGTTCCACGTCATTGCAAAGGTCACCATCGCTGAAATTGCTTTATTTTGTGTAACTTTACGATTCTGTGATAAAGTCGGTGCATATAGCTGTTGATATAATCAAAACTTCCTAGCTTTCCTCTTTTCTCACCACCTCTGGGACAATCTAATTCACTAACCGGATTTGGCTTGTGACATTAGTCCTACATAGTAAGTGAAAATTACGATTAGAATATACGCCTGCATCCATATCCGTTCAAAACTTTACCAGCGGTGGAGTACCGTATTTTCAAAGAACAGAAACTTCTGTCTATGGCCAAAAACATCAGAACCAAATTCGTTGAAAGTAAAGAAACTAGTTAGCTTGCATCTCTTTTCAATCGGTGTGAAACAAGTTACAATACAAAGTTTTATTTTGGTTAAGGTTTAGATTGACGGGAGCCATCACCCCTTACAAATCCGTACAATCTTACACATCCCTTCCGAAACGCTCTTGTAACACATCGATCCTGTCGTTTTACAAAGAAAAGAGCGACACTAACAATCACTGATAATCAGCAAAATTCGAGAGAAGAGGCAGAAAAATTGAGCACATAGAAATTTAACAGCACAAAATGCGAATTCTCCTCGTAAAAAGAATTCTTATCTATCACCGTCTTCAGGAACGATTCACCCTGAGTTCAAGCTTCGTGAGCTCCATATCTCTAAGAGGTCCAAAAAATATACTTTTTTGTTCAATCCCGTATTACTGAAGACCATAAGGCCGGCATTGACAACTACGAATTCTTTATAGTTCAAAAAAATCTTTTCGCCTATTTAGAGAGATCAGTTTGTTCTCTACAAACTTTTCTTCGCAAGCATGATTGTGGAGTCTATGACATAACTAGATTTGATGCAACACATTCATTCGTAACGATTATACATTATAATTTAAGATGTGGTAAGAAGGAACTTTTGTATCACCCGGGTAGAAGTCATTTTTTTCAATTCCTGTGATCAAATCATGGAATTTGGAATTTAGGTCGTAAAGACTATCAAAGTGCCAAACGTAACCTCAAATTATGTTTCCCTCAACAGTTGTCCTGAAAGTTTTACATATTAATTTTGGCAATCAACGTAGCTCACTTGCAAAGGCACAAAGATGCACCCAAAAAGTTGGTCCGGCATCCAATTTTGGCTGTGAACTGTGGATCGACGCCAGAGACACATCCCTGAACATGAAGGTTGCAGTGTGAGAAAAAAAATGGCGGACTTCAGTTTATGAAAAACTAGCTGGCTTACCCGGCTCCGCCGTATGTTCCGAATAGAAAATTCCATTTCTCCCCCACGGGGGTCCCCACGGGGATCAGCATGCTCGATTACCCCCCTGTGCCAACTCCCAGCCCCGTAGCTCAAATTTTGCAAAAAATCGATAAAATCGATATTATCGACCGATGACGAAAAGTAGCCTATGACACTCGCCGGGGCCCGTAGTGTATGTGTGCCAAGTTTGGTCCGGATCGGTTGAGAAATGGAATTTTCTATTCGGAACATACGTACATACGTACAGACAGACAGACAGACATACAGACAGACAGACAAACAGACATTCAGCTTTATACTAGGCTGTTGCATAAGTTCTGTCCGATTTGAATTTTTGAGTTTAAAATGTCATAACTTCTTTCAGAGTCAACTTTTTTCCAAGGTCTTAGTTTCTATGTGTTGAGCAGTCCCTTGGCTAAAAAATGCATATTGAGATCTGCGCAAACCTTTGTTAAGGAAGAACCAAGAATGCAAAAACTTCGCAGCGTTTTTCTTCGAATCTGTCTTTTTTGACATGGTAACGCTCCCTTATGAAAATTGATAGGCATCTTTTCTAATAATGGATGGATAGAGAAATTTTCGTAGATTATTATGCAACATGAAAGAGCTCATAGGGTTTGCGCTGCCGAGAGATTTTCTTGACCGAACAAAAAATTAGCCACTTTTTGACCTCGCTTCAGCACATGTGTGCATGCCTATTTATGAACTACGAACGTTTTACAACTGACGTGAGCGCCGAAAAGGAATTGGTGGATGGGCCCTGTTAGCTCTTGCTTTGCCCTAGCACCTCCAACTTTGAGCTTGTCGATTACTTCTATTCGCAGAAAGTTATTGCTTGTAAAACATCTATACCAAAGATTTATGTTCGAGGATAAATTTCACTAGCAAGACGTATTCTTCATGAGACCGAACTTCTGCATATACTAGCATTCCATACCCTTATTCCGAAGCCAATGAAAGAACCTGACTTGAAGGGCGCATTGTGGAGATATCCTCGCAAGGACATATTTCTAGGGATAGAACGTACCTCGGCCACTTAGAGATTTTAGGCCTGTGATCTCCGTACACTAAGAATTTTATTGAATTCTGGTATGCTTTAGAAAGCGCAAGGAAAGCACTTTTCAATGATACCAACCGTATCGAATTAGAGATGAAATTCTCTTAGAACAGCTGCTTCAAACATGAGGCAAAAAAATCGGACAGAACTTATGCAACAGCCTAGTATATAAGATACATTCGCTCTATCAAAAATGATGGGCAAATGTTACTGAATGCATGAACGAATTTTGTTTATATGCCATATAGCCATGAGGTATGTAACTTGTGTCATCCTAGTTTACAGGTATGCCTAGTAAATCAGCTTGGCTAGTGAATCTTTTCAAATATTCTGAAGTTCCTACGTACTTCCCAGTGGCATCATCTACCAAAGTTCCAATTCCACATTGCTTCTTCAACAGGGCTGTGTTTGTTAAGTACTCGATAGAATGGAGAATGACTGCAGACTGTTTAAAGACATTGCATATTCCTACCCCATATTTTTGCATCTCTTTAGCAAAACAGACTAATTATTCGCATCTACCATCTGAACGCTCCTTCTTTAACGCTTGATTAACAAATGTTTTGCTTCTCACCAGCAGAACTATCATAGTGCTTCAGCTCAGCGCGAAATTTACCTGTTTCACTAGGAGCTCCGATTTTGTTCGCCATTTCCATACAACGCATACGTCACCGGTGCATGGTGTATTGCATCTAAAGAGAAGCATTTCATTGATTTTGGGCAATTAACCAAAACAATGTTTTTAAATACCCATCATCCTTTGAAATCTGAATGATCTTTCACTTTTCCGGTTACACAAGGTCAAAACAAGATAGTTCGCCCTGAACTGTAAGTGCGAATCACTGCTCCTTTAGGTAGAACCCAGCTCATTTAAGTTCAGTAGCAGTGAAGGTCAAAAGCTTCTCGGCCATATTCATAAATGAACTACCGATATAAATCTCGGCAAATCTGGAAAATTCAATTCTTTTTAAAGTTCGTATCTGTTCTCTTGAAAAGTGGTGGGCTACGATCCGGGAGAAAAATTGTTTTATCTGGCTGACTTAAACATTTGAATAATCCTGCAAGCAGTTTTCAGTACTATGTAAAGGATTTGGTATCTTTTGTAGAGAAAGCAAGCTCTACAAGATGGCGGCTAAGAATTAGCACAAAGCTTGTCATAACATGATATAGTCATATCTCAGGTCGGCCCGAAAAGTTTTTTCCGTTTTTTCAGTCTGTTATAGAAACACGTGGAATAAAGGCAGGCAAATGCTCTAAACACTCAGACACAGTTTTTCTTCTTCTTCCCACCAGTCGTATTTTGAGACCTTTCGCTTTGGTGATTTCTGAGATAATAGCCGAAAATTCAAACACATGGTTCTTACCAAGTTCAACTTTGGCAAGTTTTCAACATCTCCATTTTGAACTTTTGGAAAAGCTTATGCAGTTAGATAGCGTAAACAAAGTGCAATGCAGTGCAATTTTCTCCCCTCTTTATCTAGTTTCTTAGTATTTTAAGGGTAACTTTTCCAATAGTCTTCATTTTTCCAAAGTCGCAAAATACACGAAGGCTCCAAACACTAAGAAATCGTTTGAATTCAAAACTTGCAAAGATCGGTTATGGTAACACACTAACTTTACAAAGTATAAGAGTGTTTGCCGCCTTGAAATATCAAATCTCTCATTCTATGGGTAAAGCAAGAGAAGGGTTCAAAAATAGAAATTATGAAGATTTTATTACCGACTCTACGAATTGGGAAGACGAAAGACATGCCAGAAAGAGGAAAGAAAGCTGCATCGAATGACACCTTAGTTGTACTCGTTTGATGTTCTGTGAGTTTTTGGATAACCAAAAGCATTTGATAGCATCAGAAATATAATCTGAACATTTTGGAAAGCCAGCTATAGGGACCAAAAAATTTCACTGCATTGCACTTTGTTTACGCTGTTACTGCTATCAAAGTTTTCCAGGAGTTCGAAATGAAGACTTTGAAAAATTGCCAAACTTGGGCATGGTAAAAACCATGGGTTTAAAATTTCGACAATTATCTCAGAAATCACCAAATCAAATGGTACCAAAACATGAATGTTGGAAAGAGGTCTGATACTTAGAGCATTAGCCTCCTGCCTTTATTCCAGGTGTTTTTATGACAGTTTCAAAAAAGGAAAGAACTTTTGGACCAACATAATATGTTCAAAGCTAGAATAGTTTTCCTCAATTTCTAACCACGAAAGCAGCGTACATAAAAATGTTTCACATGGCGAGCATACACGTGAGCAAGCTATGAATTCAGAGAATCTTTGTTGAGGAAGAACTGTTCAAAGAAATAAATTTTTTAGATTTTGGCTACAGGTCGCACTTTGTGCAGACTTTCCTACTAAGATAACTACAAAGAAAGCTCTACTCTGCATGCTTTCGCAGCAGTAGAACTTTCTTTGCTCCATTGGATGATAGTCTATGACAGAAAAAGGTATATGGCTTCCAGCAAGACGGAAAAAATTATGAGATAGTACAGTATATAGCTAAGCACTTTCACAAAATGTGAGATTATTCTAATTTCCTCCAAATAAGCTGATACATTTGCACGATTTTGTGACTCGTGCAGACCATTAACAGACATTTTGCGACCGATCCCTGTGCGGCGTCCGCCACATCTTAGGTGGAAAGCATGAATTAATCAGGAAGTTCGAAGCCGGATAAGCGTAATAGGGAGAAAAACGCACTTAACACCACCGTACTGGCTTTCACATTGAAAGCATTGAACGGCTCCGGCGGTAACGAACTTGCTGGTGGCAACGAGTAGGTAGAAGAACGCAACCATAACCAATATCACATCTGAATAAATAGAAATTCAGGTGCGAATCATACAAAACAACCTACATCTTTTTTTTTTGAGAACATCATCATATCAAGTAAAAATGAATGGAGAGAGAGGGGAAGTATGGAGTTTACTGAGGAATTTTGTGAATGATTGCTCTGTGTAGTTGATATCACATGTTTGAAGATAGAGTGAGTGAGTGAGTTAATAATTTTCCAAGCTTCGTTTACCACATCGTCAATATTACACATTTAATATTGACGCAGACTGCTGAAGCGCAAAACACATATATAACATCAGATTTGCTCGCTCTATGCCAGCTCAACAGAGGCTTAGCTCGACCGAGAAGCCATAGCTAATTTGATGTAACCGAGAATGAGCTGTCCTATTCGTGTCAATGTGCACTCTGTTGCTTAGGGAAGTGCTGATTGTTCATTAATCGCCAGACACGAGCTCAACATTACTATAGTTTTGATCGGTTAAGGGGTGAGGGAACTTACATACCCCGGAAAGCACGCCGCCACGTCGTTAGCAGAGTTCATGGGAGGTCATGAACTGACAGAAACCCTAATTTGTACTTAATTTTACAGGAGACGAGCTGATTTTGCTCACGTTGACTACGCCATGATCCCACAGTGCATGAAAACGAAATTTTATTGAACTTCGAATTCAAGATTCAGTAGTGAATTCGGTTCAACTAAAGTAAAAATTTGTATTTACAGGTCTGCCGTGCTGTTTCCGAATAGGTTAGAGATTAGCACCAAAAGCAAAATAAAGCCCGTCAACAGCAACGAATTTATCAAAAAAAGTTTGAGCTTCCTGATAAACACTTTCGGTTGCTTTGGCGGCTCGTAGAATGTTCCAGACATTTTGCCAGACAAACCGGTGTATCTTATCGCCAAATTATCATTAAAAAATGCATAACAGCGGTGTTGGATTTGCCTTTAGGCTATAAAAAGTCTACTACTAGGTAAGAGTATAGGGATCATGGCCTCGAGCTGTTGCTTATCTTAAGAGGCATGAGTGCTAATTCTCAATCCGTGTTTTTTGATTTCAAAACAATCTTTTCAAAAAAAATAAAGTTCGCTTGAATTTCTTGCTTGCTTATGGATAACCAAATCATCAATAGGCCGAGATGCCTGTTTCAGCAAAACTTCATGCAAGTCACTACTGTACTTGAACAGATTGCATCTAAACTTAACAAACGGAAAGTAAGAAAATCGCACGTCGCAAAATCGTAGTTACAGTATTACAATGGCAAAAATTAATAATACACTAATAATGTTAACAAATGCTAGTAGTTGTAACTGTAAGCCGTGATCCCTTCCGCGCGCAATAGTGATCACTTATGAAAAAGCTATGAACACAATGAGAAATAACAGACTGAGGAGGACAGTTTTAGAATCGGCATTCAAAAGATAGATATTGTGTCAAATAACTCTCTAGGCATAGCCACGACGATTAAGTAGTGAAGACAACACTCTATAGTCACAGTTTTCTTTGTGACTATAGAGTGTTGTCTTCAAAATCCTGCATTTGAAGAATTTTGATCGTTCTCAAAGAAGTTGATAGAAAGTGTGTTTGTCAGTGAGGCACACGCTATACTTACCCACTTCACCCACTCCAAGTGCATTTAGTGGTGCCGCGTTTTGGTTTTAAGGCGGATGAAGTGGATAGGCAAGCTATCACCCCTCATGAAGAGAAGGTAAAAGCGCTAATAAATAACAGAAAATACGATGATAAGGTTTAGCAACTGGGACGAAAGTCATCATAATTCCTTCTCTCGTCTCGACAACCTGGAAATGATGTCAACTCTGATGTTGAAATTTGATTCTGGCAGAGATTTCCGTAAATGCTGTTGCCGAAAGCGGAATTGATATATAAAAACACACATCAGCTTCCATAAATAGAAATACCAACCAAACTTCGAAATTGGGTGCAGCTGATTCAAAATAGGGTAGACACTTGTTGACACGAACGAGTAAATTGAATTTCCTTATGTAGCTTGCGAAGTAAGTGTTAAGTCGTGCTTCGGTCAAATTATGCCAAAATTGCTGAGGTTTTTGTCCAAACTAAAGCAGTTTGCGAAAGAAAGTGTCGATTGCTTGCATTCTGTGATGCGACCGAGTAATTGCTGCGAATTGCAAATGATACGGCTGCGATCCAGCGGCTCCCAGAGCTGAGTTAGGGCCGCATGCACTATCCTCCCCGCGGGGAGGTTAGTGCATGCGGCCCTTAGTGGGAGAGGGGGGGGGGAGGGGAAGGAGGGGGGAGCACGCAATCCAGATAATACGAAAAGCGGCGCCGACGCTTCTGAATAACTCGGATCAAGTACGAGATTCAAATTGTTTACACATTAAATAGAATAAATTAGATTTGGCAGACGACGGCGCGTATCAGACTGCGAACTCTGTGAATAAGTTAAGAGGGAAACAAGCACTAATTGGTCTTGATAGCGGCTAACATCGAATAAGTAAACATTTCCGGTTCGTCTCATGGCAGTGGATTGAGGGCACTGAGCGCATCGCCGGCAAACACGATTAGGTGCACTTCTGAAAAGGGTTGTGATTCCTACTCAGTAATGCTTTTTGAAGCAAGCTGAAATTCCAGCGGACTCATGGGTTAGGCTCAAGAAACAACATCTCACATATAAGCTTTTTGCAGTTTTCTTCAAATATTGAGAGATTTCTCGAAGTTGCGTTGTGTACTTTGATGGAGAAGCGTTTCCCCATGAGAATATCTAATGCTTCTCAGCATTTACATCGGTGCAAAGAAGTCATGGAATCAATAGAGTCCACAAAAAATTGGCGCCGATTCTTGCTCTTCTTGCTCCTAGTGGACCCTAAGTTTTTTGCCAACTTTTTACGGAGTATTTATAAAGTTCCAAGTGAACTGACTCTACCGAGTTGAGGCAATCCAACTCCAATGACCTGCAGTTGCTGCAAAAGTACAAATGGACTTAATTCGAGTCTTTTCTCTTCGATCTTAGTTGATTGGACTCAAGGGAATCAGACTAATCTGCAAAAATGTTCAAAAGGTTCAACGTTGACTTGAAGCTTTATCGTTTGGCTAGAACGCATGGAGATGATGAGTGAAACTATGAAAAGAAAATATGTTTTAAGCGTGCTCCTTGACTTTGTTATTTGCTTCATTCAAAATTCGCAAAAAATGTTTTGTTGCGCCATCCTGGGGCCTTACTAGCCTTTAGATACAAAGAAAAAAAGAAGATCCTTCAAGACCTTTACTGGCTATAGCCATAAGATGGGTAACGCAAATGCAGGAGGGAAAATTATGATCCGTCGCATTGAGTTACTATCAGACACATGCAATTCTGCTCCGACAGGACATTTATAGACACGGCCAGCTTGACAGATGTTACTTACGTACTGCAAACTTTGTTTGAGCTGCGGGACTGGGAGTTGGCGAATAGAGGAGAGAGGGTAAGTGAGCATGCCGGTTAACACATTGACGACAACGTGACCCACATGGTGACATTTTTTTCAGAGGTCTTACGCTCTGATCCTAGAAAATGCTTTTGCGTTTCTCGCCTATTTCATAAATTACTGTAGGTATAAAGCGCGGTTCATAATTATACGAACACCCCAAATTTTAGAAATTTCTGGACTTTTTGACAGAAACTCAAAAAGCCGTTGGTACCACGCGAAAGAGCACAACCGAGAACGGTATATGATCCATAAGAATGAAAATGGATATCAATTTCGGGAGTGTTTGTCTAGTGCGAATTTTTAGCGGTTTATAATTATGCGAACACCTCAAACAAATGTCCATTTTTTATTCAAGATTGCAATCATTTGAGTCTAAATTTTTTGTAAAGCTACAGTAACAAAGTCTGACGTGTCCGCTACACACTGAACCCAGTGCAGTTCAAAAAGAGGACCGTTACTTTCTTCAGAAGGCTCTAAATGCTACTGGAGTGATTGCGCTCCAAAAACATGCGTTCTTCTGCGGTTTACGCCCTCGAATTAGCTTCTACCAAAGCTATGAGATAAAATAAGCTCTTTCGATGGGTATTTTGTCTGACGGTTGAAAAATCTTTGCGTTTTCGTGCCGTTTTTCAACAAAGTTCCAACCTTACCACAGAGTTAGCACGATTTCGAGCCTCAAAACTCAACTTCTGAAGCCGTACAATGAAATTAGCATATACAGTGCTGGACATAATTATACAGCCACTCCAGAAATCGTCGTACTTTTTGTTCTTGTCAATGAATCTGTCTGAAACTTTGCTGTATTGTGCGCATGTCAACCTAGCATAACCCCTCAAAAGGCTTCCAGTCTTGTTGAGTTTGAACGGAGAAAAACGAAAAAAATCGAAAAAGCCCTCTTTGAAAGCTGGACAAAATTATACAGCCACCTGGTTTTTCTAATCACTATCGCATTCGTTGACTCTCAAATTTTTTTGTACAATTACATCCCAAAATATGAAACATTTGCGACACTTACGGCCTGTCTTCCTACTCAAATAGAAGCAATCGCTGCATTTCTTGCTTTTAAAAGCATTAAAAGTCAATCTCCTTCAACAAACAACTGCTTTAAAAAGTTTTCAAGCTCTTGTTCATTCCAAATGATAATCATGGAATCTACTGACCCTTCTGGATAGATGAGGTGAAGAGCGCTTTCGTAAACTCTGCCTAATCGCTGATTTTGACGAACAGACTCCAACCTCACCATAGGATTGACGCACTTTTGCACCACGAAACTCGATTTTCAAGCGACAGAAAATTGTAATGTAGCCGTTACGACAGCCATACAACAGTGAACTCGTGTGCATGACGGAAGAAATTTCGGGACTGAGCACTCTGATTCAGCCGCAGTTGACATTCACTGAATGTTGAGTGGAGCACCCTGTACAATCAAAGCCAACTCAGATCACGAGATAAAACCGGAGACGCTTAAAACTTCAAAATCTTAGCTAATCTCATTCATCGGGTGAAATATGACGTGAAACACAGAGGGAGATAAGGAGATCTAGGGTTATATCGAAT